GCAATCTGGCCCAAGTGAGCAGTCCAAACCCCCAGCCACTCCGGCCAGTCTTCAGTATAGCACCTAAGAAGCTTAATGCTTCCTGTAATTGAAATGGGATTTCTGGTAGGATCAATGCAGTTCTGTCTCCTTCCTTCACCTTCACCCTCACTCTACATCCTACATCCTGTCCCACTGTCCCTTGACTTTGGTGCATAAACAACAGCAAGGCAGAGCAGGCCAAGAACATTGAAGCAAATTCCTGAGCAGGAAACTCTTGGTTTTGAGTTCAGAATTGTCAATGAGTTTTGTCATTTAGCTGTGCATTTGTGTTTAAGAGCGATAAGCAAGTTAGAGTCACGCTGGATAGTGAATTAATATCATCTTGTGTTAACAGGAGGTATGGGTTTGTGTCAAGATAAAGCATGTCCCCAAAACAACCGGGGGGGCCTGAGATTAGGATTAGAGGTGCTATAAAGAGATGAGAGACTAAAGACTCTCACAGCAGGCACTGTGCTTCTTTAACACTTGAGTTCACTGAGACTCTACTGACCACTTTACAAGCACCATTACCTCGCGGTACACCAATATTAGGAATGTTTGAAATAGTCCGTGAGAACCAGACTGGAGGCTGGTGTGTCCTGCACAGCCAGGGCCAACAGTTGCCTGTGGATGCTGCGAATACCGCCGCCATTCCCAGAGGTACTCCCTAATAACCCCTCAACAAAATCAAGCAGCAAGGCAGCGTGTGCATGGCTTGCATACCAGTGTTATGGAGCTCTTTAGGATGAAATAAAAGCTAGATGGAAGACTAATGACACTAACTTTCAGGACTGAACCCCCCCCCTCGATGGAGCTGTGTCTGTTTTGACAATGGGGCATCTAGGGACAGTAGCTTAGTTTATAAATGCTGTGGTATCACAGTGATGTTGTGGTATCATTGTGATGTAATACACAATGATACCAATAACTGATCCACTCCGCCAGAGAATTAATTCACCATTAAAGCTTTGAACGCCTGCCAGATGTGCTCACCAAGCCGTAAGTGCAACGACATGATATTACACAAATGTGCTTGTATTCGTACCTGAGCTAGAAGTGTACGCACTTAAGATCTGTTCAAGGAGACAACTCTATTGATTGCATAATTAGAGGAGTCTCTCTCTGCCAGGCAGGATTCAGTAACTGGGTCGTAAAAACAACCAGAGATGCAAAAATAGACCTAAGAGGACTACAATGTGTGCCAGTTTCTGGCCTCAGATAGAAATCCCTGTGAGTTTTTATTGGGCGAGACAAAAGCACAGGGGCATTTTCATCAAGATCAATACTTACTTTTGATAGACCGAGGTCAGCTCAGCCCTCGGGGGCCGATGCCTCCTTCAATGGGAGGTCACGTGTACCTCATGAAAAGTTAGGCTACTCACTTTACAAGTGTGGAGAATGATTTTGTTAAACGTTAGCATATCTCACAACGGGTCATTCAAATTAAATTCAAATAAATAAATGTAAAAGTATCCATCAAAGTTATGACTGGATTGGATCTTAGCATTCCCAGTGTGCTGGAGTATACACTAGTGGCCATTCAGATCATTTTGAATTAAACGTTGAGGTGAAAACCAGATTCTAGAACTCTTATTTCTGAAAAGTCTGGACTCTGACCTCACCAGAGGGGGTGGAGGAAGAAGAGCCATGTGGCACAGGACCACAGAGGGGGGTGATGACACAAATCCTCTTACTGGATAAACAGGTTTTTATTGCTGTGGTTTTACCACACTCGCACACAAACACGCAAACACACACACACACACTGACACACACACGCTCTCCGAATGGCCTCTTAATAGCCAGCCATTTAAAACTACTTGCCTAATTAAGGTTGTGTTAGATGCAATTAAGTTTAGAAAGAAGTAAATTACACAACATTTGTGCTGCCATTTACATAAAACCTCTGAGTGCTTGAGTCCCTGCTGTTAATGTGTTTAAAGGCTTCCAGTAAACAACCAGGTCTACGGGTCAGTTTTAAAAGGTCTTTAAAGAAGGTGAGGCTGTAAGTCCAACAGCTATTTTAAACAAGCACAAGCACCCTTTGGAAATACAGAGCGCTGGATGCACCATCATTAGAATATTTGGGGTAAGATTGTCAGATAAACACTGTTGATTTGGGTTAACGCCTACTCTATGGTCGACATACACCACATCTATTGTTTCTATGATCGGACATACAGTGCACAGGTATGTCAATGGTGTGTATAGCATTGGTAACAGGATTGACCAGCAGAACCTGTCATTTTTAAACCATCTGGCGCAGCAGATTTACACATTAATCACATACCTCTACTAACAAATTAATCTCCGTTACACAAGTTACAGCCACACAAAAAGCGAACTTGTATCCAAACAGAACAGATGTATTGATTTAGAGCATGACCAAATGCAAGGCTTTACTTAAAGAGGGACTCCACTGATGTCACACATCAAAGTCTGTTTAATGGTCTCGGGCGGTGCTATTGCATATGCAAAAAAAAAAAAAAAAAAAAAAAAAAAAAAAGATTGTATGAAGCATTGTGAGGCTTCAGAGGAAGCAGCAAGACGTCTGATTAATTGTCTCTGAAAATCTGGGGCTGTGCAGTGATGAAGAAGTGAGCTCACCAGACCACAGTAGCCTGCTCGTCATCTCTGCTCGACGCTAGATTAGCCACTACTACCGTAACACACCGGAATCTCAGACCGAACCGTCAGTGGTCTTGTTGCATTGTGGGTAATGTAGGTGTCAGGTTTTTTTTTAACAAGAAAGACGAATGTGTGGAATAAAGAAGACCATATGTCTGGTTCTGCCACATCAAATTGAACCATTGTTGTTTTAAACTGTCCATCATAAGTCTAAGAACGTTATAGGGGTGTAATAAATGGCCAACAATAGTCTACAGTTGCTTGCTGGCTGCACTTTGAGAATAGGCTGTGTTCTGAAATGATGCACCGGCACACTGTTGCATCACAGAACACTGTGCATCTCCAATCCGCCCGTCCTCAACTGTCAGTTGAAGGGGAAAAGCTAAGAAGTGAGAGCGTGTACAACAAACCTGCCATCTAGAGAAGGTCAGAACAAGCACAATGCTGAAAAGAGCTCCATCTGATGTTTGCATTCTCATGGAGTCTTCGTGAATATACAGACTATAGATGCATCATTAAACTCAAGGGTAAGAGTCATCCTCCTGATGGTTAGTCAACATTTCAACATAGTCAACAGGAATATAAAATCAATTTTTAGACTTCATAAATGACCAGCTACTTGTGGTACATATACAGATGTGCTTTTGTCTGCGTGCCTGTGTTTGAGATTCCAGGCAGGCCGGCAGACAATAAGTGGAAGTGTTCCCCGTCCACCGCAGTGTTTAATTGGTCAAACAGACCAAAGGGAGCGAGGTCTTGTTGTCCCAACAATAAGGCCTCGTGTTCCCCGAGCCTGAGCGCGAGGAGGTCAATGTTAAACACCGAACACACTACTCCACATCTCTGCAACAACAGTTCAGCAGCTTCAACTGCAGCTCATCACTAAAACAAAGCTGCTGAGTTTGATTCTCGACCAAACCTCACAAACCAGCAATTACTACTGAGCTAAGATTTTTTTTTAAAAAAACAGTTAAATCCACACGCTCATTTGCTTACTTCCACAAAAAAAAAGCACATTCCACTCGAAGCTGGGCTGAAATGCTTCGCAATAGCAGATTCATTTGCCATTTTTAAAACCAGCAGCAGCAGAGGCATGTGTACGTACCTGAGCAGGTGTATGTATGTATGTATGCATGCATGTGTAGCTCAGCCTTCTGCAAACACAGGTTCAAATTAAGTAAGAGAAACGCTGACATTAGACACCAACGTATAATCTCATCTCTGCACAAATCATGCATTCGGATGTCCGTTTTTTTACTACAAAAAGGTGTAACACACAAAATTGTTCTGTCATAAATCCATTCATAGGACAACTAAAACTTTTCCACTGTGAAATCAGGAGGGACCTTTCCTCACAGGACACAGAACATCTACACGCGTACTCCAACCTAACAGAGCAGAGACACACTAACACACCGAGCTGCTCATGTGGGAAATTCTATTTTTACCATCAGGCAGGGCGAGGCTCTACTATACAGCACACAAAGTAGGGAAACTATAACAAGGGAGGGAGGGAGGGCTGTCAGGGAACAAAGCGGAAGTGTCCTTCCTCCTGATGACCTGCAACACAAAGTGTTCTCTGTGCACACATACAGTACGATGCGGCCGTGAACAACAGAGTAACATTTCTCCCTCCATCACTGTCGGAAGCCAAAAGCACTTGCATTGACCACAACTGAAAAGTGATGTATGTATACATTGGTGTCTCAGTTTAACCTAAATATGTTTGCAGTCTGTTGTCGTTTTGTTTCTCAATGTCGCTCCTGTTTGTATCGTCTACGCAGTGCAAAGACATTGCAAGTACTGCATGTCTGTCTGTCCCTCTTCTATTGCTCTTCTGGAGGTTTCTTCCTATTTCCCCATTTAAGGGTCTATTCTGAGAGTTTTTCCTCATCCAAATGGAAGGTCTTCGGAGAGAAGGGGTCACATGTTGGACAGATTGTAAAACCCTTTTGAGGTTTAATTTGTTATCTATGATTTTGAGCCTATATAAATATAACTGACTGGACGATACCTGCTCTTGCTGGCTAATTATCGTGGGGGTAGAAATAATTATGAAGCTACTGTATAATGGGACAATGGAGGTCCAGGACAGCAATACAAATCTTGATAAACAATGTCTGAACTGGTTAGAATAAGAGTATGGATCATGAGGGAGGGTATGGTGCACAGGATGGCAATTTATTTTACAATTTGTATTGAGGTGACCCCCCCCCCCCCCCCAACTCTGAGCTGACATGAATCAAACATACTAAAACATTTTGTAAATAGTATGGAAGGATAGCCCAACATAAATTACAATCCCTATTATGCTCAGACTCGTGTTTATGGGGACTACAATCCTCACTCACCTCCTCCAGAGCAGACACTGTGTTCCTGCAGTGGGACATCCTGGTGGTGAAGTTAGAGGCAGTCGGTGATTTATAATCTTCATTCGTCTCTGCCACAAACTCTGTAACTGTGATTTGGTCCGGCATGGTTAATCCGTTTGATGGTTGTGAGAAGAAGACGCAGAAGATGAAGATGAAGAAAAAGCACTTTTTGTAATTCCCTTTTTTAGCACATAAAAGTTCACAGCAGCAGCAGCAGCAGCAGCAGTAGTACTAGTAGTGTCTCTGAAGGTCCCCGCGGGTTGTAAACCATCTCTGGGTATGTTTATGTCATTCCCTTGTTTGCTCCCAACACAATCCAGTGCAGCGGTGTTGCACGCTGGCTCGAGGAGTTTCACCGCGCTGTGCCACACACAAGGTGATGGTGTAGGTTTATATCCTGACCGGCTTTCAACCCACTCACTCGCTTTCCATTCAGATTTTTTTTTTTTTTACCGATCGTCGTCTGGTCACAGGAGAAAGTGGAGCTTCCTCTGACTCTGGAGTCTGTTATCCGCTCTCGGTGATCGCAAACCTCCGGCAACGCGGGGTGAACAACTTCTTCCTCCTTTTGCCCGGAGAAACAACAACCAGGCGTTTTCAACGGGAGCGCAAGAAATTGACAAAGGTAGAGGAGGGGATTCAATGGACACGCAACAGCCAATGAGGAGCAGCAGCTGGTAATTAAGAGCCAATCAGGATCCACGGAAGGCGTGGCCTCATGCTGCATTCACGTAATCCTCGTACACTATTAAGTCCATTTAGCTATGTGTGGCGTTCAAGTCCCCAACTGCCTCATGAAAAGTGGCTTAAAGCTGTTGTGTGTAAAGTTGTTTAAATTTAGGAAACATAACTAACACGACTAGTTAATACTACTAGTTAGCAGCATTTTTCAGCAACATCAAAAGTGTGTCAGTCAGCACTTGAACATGTTGGTTAGCTTGTATTAGATTGAAACACAAGAAAGACGAAATGACGAAAAAAGGACAATTGAAAATGAACAAAACACATACCAGATTAAATTAAAAACGTTTATCATTTAGTGTTTACATTACTTTTCTGTAAACCCTGTGATTAAGTTTAGGTACACTTATGTTTTACAATACTGCTTGTAAACTGTAGTCTCAAACTATTGCAGTGCATATAAACAAGTTTGTAACATTTCTTGACCCCCCTCCTCTCTCATTGGTGTCCTGAGGCCATGTAAATTTAATGAATCTAGATTCTGATTCTCACTGGGGACAACACCTGTGAGCCTAATTCATCTTGTTTGATGGAGCTTGTTAGCAGCAGTAGGATACATATCCCAGGAGTAAATAGCATAGTATTTGTCTGTGGACAGTAAGACAAATGCCCCCATTGCTATGTGCTTTCAAAGCACTTTTTTGGGGGGGGGGGGGGGGGGTGGCTTGCTATTGTTACAGTATATTTCCAAAATCAATCAGCGCACAGACTAACTTTCTGTATTTGGTAGAAAACAATTTATCAAATTCAACTGATATTTATTTACTTATTTTCCAAATGTTGCTGCTCATGTGACACCTATGTTAAATGAACGAGTCAAATAAAAACATGTCTATATGTAAAATTTGCATAATGCTAAAAAGAAAACAAAAAAATACAACAGTAAAATGTATCAAATCTTAAAACCAAACCCTCCTTACCCTAGTAATCACAATTCATTAACTAAGGTGTTTGTCAAATTTCCCAAATCTATTTTTGCACTAATTTTTGGCACTTGATTGATCTATAGCACAACAGGCAGTATGTAATCTAAATATTTCCGACGGCACTTAAAAGCAGCATCTTGATTACAGCGCAAGTTTCTTTCTTAAGGTGGAGGCACGAGAAGCAGCTGAAAATGATGCAGTGTCACAGTGGAAGTGCGTGCGTGTGTGTGGGGTGTGTGTGTGTGTGTGTGCTAATACTGTACGTGTAATGTACGTTCTCATTCTGTTATGTTTTGTCTGAAAGGCACATATGGTGTTCAGTGAGATCATTAACTGTCTCTCCTGGATACATTAATCATTCAATGGGAATAACATGTATCAGTACAGAGGCCACCACAACACAAGCCTAATATACTGCCTAATCATGTTGCAGAAACCGCTGCACAATACTGTAAATAATGTATGTGTCTGTTATTTTTTGCATGTCAATAGATTTGTGTTTACATTTATTCAGACAGCTGAGTGGAGATCATTTTTAATGAGCCCAGATTTGTGTCATCACACTGTATCAGAAAAAAATGTAATCATTCCAGTAATTAAAGTAGAGTACTGTCAACTTTGTATCTGTGTACTCCAAAGTTTACATGAAGGTACTATCTACCATATCATAGGAGAAAAGTTGTTTTTTGTTTGCATCAGCTAAGAATAAATTTGATTTAAAATGGAAAGAACCCTGTTGGGAAAAAGCAGAGAAGAAAGACAGCATTCTATCATTAGTCGCCCCCTGAAACTCGTGAAGACTCTCTCCCATGCCTGAATATTTTCTCAACAGGAGCTTGAAAAAACTGCAGCCTCTGCTCCCAGGGAGCTTGCGTTTTTCCTGGGCTTTGGTATGAAAAATCTGCTGATGCCTCCCAGCTCATTCAGCCCCGGCAGGACGGCCAGTGGTATAAATAGTATCACAGCAGCCGAGGCAAAACCCCGGGCAGCCTTTAAATCACAAACTGGGCAGTGTTCACACATTCTTTCAGCTCTGCAGCGTCTCCTGGCAAGCTGCTAAATGAAGAGCCCGAGACCCAGGCTGACCCTGACTGGCTGTAGGCCTCAACTCCCTTATGAAATGAATACACACACTGGCAGCGAACATCTGCTATCCAGAGACAGAGCGGCTCAGTCAGTGAGGTCAGCAGAATCAAACCCTTCTCTGCTCCACTGCCATGGCATTATAGTTTCAGTAACATCTGCCTTTCTAAATTCAGGCTTTATCCTTTAAATCAAGACCAAACCAGCCTAAAAATACCTAATCTGTCAGTGCTGCACCAGTTGTACTTTCTGTTGCTGAAGAGAAGCACTGGAAACCAAGGTAAACAGGCTAATTCAGCAAGTACAGGTAAGGAACTTAATATGAATAGCACACTGTTTAATATTTTAGGGGACCTGGAAAAGCACAACCATGCATTTCAATGAGCGATCATAAAAATGCAGCTCAAGGAAATATTGTTAAAATGTACTGTGTCATGTAACCTTTGCATAAATAATCCATACTCTACTTTTATTGTATCATATAATCACCGAAGCCTCATAAAGTTTTGATTTACCGCAGCCCGTCGGTAAAAGAAGCAAAAGCTGGAGCTTTCATCTGCCTTATTAAACATGAGCCTCATTCACCAGCAGCGACCATCCTCAATATAGACCTTGTTTCCATGCAAACAACTTACAGCCTTGAGTAACAAGTCAGAGTGGTAGTTGTTGGATGGATTCGCTGTGGTCACGGCTGATTAGTGATTTAATGAGACACCAAACTGAAAGTCTTCATATTATACACTGCTTTGGTGCACAATGTGCTATTTTCACTTTCCTTTCCTTTGAACCCAAAGCTGATTTGGTGATGAAAAAGTGAAACGAAATGTAACCAGACAGCTGCAGACAGAGCAATAACCGAAGCAGATGTCATACTGTCCACAGAGACCCTCTTTGAAGATGCTTGTAATTTGTTTTGTGACCTTCAGTACACAAACATCTAATATACAGATCTGACTGTTAGCAGGAACAGACAGCATGTCAGAGCAAAAAAAGGGGGAACTGACTTTTCAGCGGGAGTCACTTTTTCCTAACTGCGCTGCCGTGACATCATGATTGTGTAACAGGTGGGATAACCTCCCAATCCAGACTCTTAAGTTTCAAATTAGTGGAATGAATGACTGCTTTGTTTCGAATAATAAGCAACTAATGCTAACCATTCTGCAGCTGGAACTTTCCGACGTACAAGTGGATGAAATGGCGTATCCTGGGCAAAGCTCAGGCCCACTACTCAAACATTCCCATATCAGCTTCTCATAGATCGCACATCACATTACTAACTGAATACTACTTTACAGAAGAGCTTTGAAGTGGCTGCACACGGGCAGGAACTGAACAAGCAGTGCCTGCTGAACCCGAGCGGTAGCTGCACACTGAGGGACTCCTAATGGGAGAGGGATGAAGGGAGGAGGGGAGGGGAAGGGCAAAGGAACAAGAGGAGGAAGGGGAGCACTGAGGGGAGGGCAGTGAACTGTAACGAGCCAAGTCTTTTCTCACAAACTCTGGGAGGAAGCCCAATAATCAGTTCAGACCAAACTATTGGACCTTTATTTGAATATAGATGATCGGCACAGGCAAGGCCTGAATAAGATGCAGCTAAGACAAATATCAGCATATAATACAGAACTCACCGAGTGTCTTTGCAGTCTTCTTTCCTGAATGTTGTATTGACATATACTGACCATTGTTCTGATGGCTTAAAATGGAGGAACAACTTTTCTACTGATACTTTTGTGAGTTTGATTCACACCAGGTCTGCCTCCAGAAAATAACCATTTGCTGGCATCAATGACACAATAGCTCGAAATACTATGTACTGTATATTTTGAAGTACAGACCTCGGTATACCGAGACAAAAACACTCAAACCCGGAGTTAGAGGTGCTTCTCACATTGACCATTAGCTTGGCTAAACTTTGCTTAGAAGTAACCCAGCGTTACTTCCACAGCCAGCAGCAAAACAAAAACGTTTACATCCACTGTGTGGCATCTAAAGAAAGAAAAGAAAAAATAATATTTTTCCCCATGTAGTAACTACTATATATACCAGAGGTAGCCACCCTTTTTGAAACTGAGAGCTACTTCAAGGGTCCTGAGCAGTACGAAGGGCTACTTGTTTGATACAAACTTCCTGAATAACAAAGTTGCACAGATCACCTTTTAATAATAATAATAATACATGTGAAGAGACTGATCACCTGTCAATGTTAATTATTCCTCACAATAATTATTAACAATGATTGTGTATTTTGTTCAAAATCGCACCAGTTATATTTTTGTAAAAATGATAATTTCTAAAAAAAAAATTAGGAAATCATCAACTGTCATATCTTCACATCATGACTCGTTTGTACTAACCACTACCTTCGTAACATTTTTGAACAAATCATGAACTCTGTCCCATGTTTATACAAATGATCAGTTATGTAAGATAAAAAAAATCAACTCTTTCATATTTTTAAATGAATCCTATTACATCAGTACTAATCACCACATTTTGGGAAATCTGGGTCAACTTTGCATTGCGTAATGAAGCCTGCATGCCAGTCTGTAGTCTGTAGTCACCAGCTTTTTTTTGGGTACCTTTTTCTCCACGAAGAAACTAGTAAAAAGTCTTGTCTATAGCCGAGGGGGGGGGATCTAACCCTCCGAGGCACGCGAGCGTCTTTGGTCGCCTGCGTTCAAACCTCTAGTCTGGGCCTTTTCGATCGTACTGCGTTGCCTCGCCTCTACCCCCGCCACCCACGAGTTGTTGCCCCGCGGCCTGTTCCGAGGACTGACGGACCTGACCTAGTGCGGTGCGGCGGCCTCTTCCTTTTAAAATCTACATGAATGCAAGCGTTTTTGATTAA